CCTCCCGAGTTCCGGCAATTCTTCTGCCTCAGCCTCCTGAGTAGCTGGGACTACAGGCACAAGCCACCATGCCCAGCTAGTTTTTTGTATTTTTAGTAGAGACAAGGTTTCACCATGTTGGCCAGGTTGGTCTTGAATTCCTGATGTCATGATCTGCCAACCTCAGCCTCCCAAAGTGCTGAGATTACAGGCGTGAGCCACCACACTCGGCTATGCTTATATATTTTCTTCTAGATGTTAATATTTACTTTTTACATTTAGACCTGTGACCTATTTTGAATTATTTTTGTATATGCTATGAGTTATGGGTCAAGGTTCAGGTTTTTCTCATATGGTATATCCAGTTAGTTAAAAACCATTTATTCAAAAGGCTATCCTTTCCTCAGCAAATTGCGGTGGTGTCTTTGATATAAATATACAATACATATATACTCTCTATATATACAATGTGTATGTGTGTGTGCATATGTATATGTATATATATATATATATATACACACATATGCACAAACACACAAAATCAGGTGATTATGTATATGTGGTTTTGTTTGGAGAATTTCTGTTAAGTTTCATGTACCCATTTTTCTTTGTATCAATACTATTCTACCTCAGTTACTAAAGCTTTATAGTAAGTCTTAAAAATTAGGTAGTATAATTCTTCCAACTTTATTTTTCTTCAGAAATCTTTTGACTATTTAAGGCCATCTGCATTCTCATATAAATCTTAGAATCAGCCTGTCAACTTTGAAAAAAACAGCATAATGGTATTTTGAAGGGATTGTAATACTGAGTTTTCCAATCCATGAATACACATCTCAGCATTTGTTTAGGTTATTGATTTCTCAGAGCTGTATCTTTTCTTTTCAGGGAGAAGGCCTTGCATGTCATTCATTAAAATTATTAATAGACATTGATGTTTTGAGAAGCTATTTTTAACATTTCAATTTAAGCTTTATGGCATTTAATGAAAAAGATTTTGCCCATGACCCCAAAAGTTTTATCTTTTGGCTACCAAAGCAGTAGTGTCATTATTTTAAATAGCCAATAATACCTTCGTTTTCTAAGAGAGATGTTTGAGAATTTGTGAACATCAGTAGTATATATCAACAAAAGTGGCTAGTTTTGTGTGCTGCTGCTCTAAGAAAAGATTTAAAGGATAGTCAACATATTGGACTTATATGCTCGCTGCCTTTATGAAAAGCAAGTCTAATTCCTTTATTATATAATAACTCTAGCAAATCAATACCAAATATAAATATCTCACTGATTAAGAAAAATAACATGATGTATGAGTAGTATAAATTTATTCTAAATTATTAAAAATTTATGATAAAATAAGAAGTTCACCAAATCAGAAATTTAGTGGAAATAAAATAAACATTGGATTGGGGTGAAAAAAACATGTTGAGCTTAACATGTTAATGTTAAATGGGACAGAAATAAAGCATACTGCCTACCTTTGGATTAAATGCTAAATAGCAGTATTACACATTTTGGGAAAATATTCAAAAACTAAAATGCCGTAGAATGGAGTTTCTTGGCAGCTCTGTACTAATTTTATTAATAGTTATTGAAGCTTCTTTTACACCTTAGAAATTTTAGTCAAACTTTAAAAATCAAGGCAAAATACATTTCCAGCAAACGACCAAGAGCCAAATGTATTAAATGATCATATTTACACTCCCAAAAGAAAATGTAAAATGAAGCCTGTTGAGAAACATTTTGGACGTGATGTTGCAGAACAATTGCAACTTGCCCAGAGGTTCAGCTGCCCACAGGTGGCTTCCTTGGTGACTTGTTTCATCTTGAGTGTGTGGAGTCCAGGCTGGGAAGAAAGCACCATCCAGCCAGCTGTTCCGGCACAGCCCCACTGGCCGAAGCCTACCCTCACACAATGAAAACACTTAAACGTCTTCTTAAAACAAATGTTTCTCCCATTGTCATGGTTCTGTATATTAACACAAAATTTTCCTTTCTTTTCTCACAGGAGAGATCATTTCATTCAATATTTTTTATGAATTTTTTACCATGTGTACTTCAATAGTAGCAGAAAACAAAGAAGGTAAATGTGCATTGAGGGAGGGTGGGTGGTATAAAGTATGACATAAAGAAAAGTCTTCTAAATAAAGGGATTAGAACTTTTTTTTTTTTTAATGAAGTGTCACTCTGTCGCCCAGTCTGGAGTGCAGTGTTGCAATCTTAGCTCACTGCAACCTCTGCCTCCCAGGTTCCAGCAGTCCTCTGCCTCAGCCTTCCGAGTAGCTGGGATTACAGTTGCCCGCCACCATGCCCAGCTAATTTTTGTATTTTTAGTAGAGACAGGGTTTCACCATCTTGGCCAGGCTGGTCTGGAATTAGAACTTTTAAAATCCAGGCTTGCTATATAAATTCTGTGTATGTTGCATAGAGCTTTTTAAATCTTGGTAAATTTTTATGAGTGCCCTGAAAACTCTCCTTATTTTAAGACTACTGTACTGCCTATTAAAGTTGAATTCAAACATGCAAAAAACCCAGAAGAAAAGTCTCAGGAGTAGAAACATTCATCTCCCTCATATTCTACTTATACCCATCCACATGATTTGATGGAAGCGCTCACAGGAGTTACTTCCTTATCTTCATATCTGTCATGGTATCTGTCCTTTTCTTAAGACCCAGAACACACATTCTCCCATCCTTTCCCAGCCAGGCGGCCCTGTGTATACCAGCCCCACTTTCCCATATTTCCTGACTGGTTCCCAGAGTACAAAGCACAGAACGACTTTGCTGACTCACCCTGATCTTCAGCCTATATACTCTGCATATAAATCTGCCTGTAACTTACCCTTGAGGTGTCCTGCTCTAGGGGACAATGCCTGAAGGGAAACATATGATGAATCACATTAGTTGAGGCTCAGATTTCTGTATCCTGATAGAATCATGTAACAGTGCCAAAAAATGACCATTGTTTGCTTTTCCCATACTCTGATCTTAACCTGGACACCTGTGCTCTCAGATTTTGTGGGGTTATCTGGCAGATTGACAGTGACAACAGTCCCATCTGGTGAAGGCTTAGGACATTAATGTTTCTTCTTTCTTATTGTTTGAAGAAACAATTGTGAATATAAATTAATCAGAGCTAGATGCCTGGTGCAGTGACTCACACCTGTAATCCCAGCACTTTGGGAGGCTGAGGTGGGCCGATCATCTGAGGTCAGGAGTTTGAGACTAGCCTTGCTAACATGGTGAAATCCCATCTCTACTAAAAAAAAAAAAAAATACAAAAAAAAAAAGAAACTAGCCAGGTGTGTGGTGGCACGTGCCTGTAACCCCAGCTATGTGGAAGGCTGAGAGGTGAGAATTGCTTGAACCTGGGAGGCAGAGGTTGCAGTGAGCTGAGATCGCACCATTGCACTCCAGTCTGGGCAACAGAAGGAGACTCTGTCTCAAAAATCAATTAATCAAAAGTAATTGTCCAGCTTTGATTTAGAATCTTAACTGCTATTACATGTCTCTTCTGTGTACCTTCAAATAGGTCATCTAGTACATGGGAGAAATATGGATTTTGGAGTATTTCTTGGGTAAGTAAAGAACACAGTTCTGTGTTCTATAAGAAGAGTAGGTTGTATTACAGTGATGAAAAGTAAGTCCCAAATCAGGGCCAAAATAGGATCATAAGTGAAGATAAATGGATTCCTGAGTGTTGAGACAAGATGGGCACACTGCTATTTTATGTGTCCATCTTGACCTTTCTGAAAAAATAAGAGTGTTGTAATTAGCACCCTAAGTTTGACTCTGAGGCTCATTTTTTTATATGCTGTGTGATATCGAGAGAGTTACTCGGCTTCTCTGAACCTCAGTTTTATTATTTGGAAAACAGAATAAAGACACCATATTGTAAAGGTCTTGTTAGGATTGATCATAGCGCCTAGCTAGATGAAGGTCCTAGTGTAGTGCCTGGATCTCATCATCATATTCATCATTATTTCACTGTGTTTCTTAAATGTCACTGAAACTTGTCTTTTGTAGGTGGAACATAGAAAATAATACCTGGGTCATAACCGAGGAACTAAAACCTTTAACGGTGAACTTGGACTTCCAAAGAAACAACAAAACTGTCTTCAAGGCTTCAAGCTTTGCTGGCTATGTGGGCATGTTAACAGGATTCAAACCAGTAAGGAGTCTGTTGTTACATGATTTTACAGGTAGCTTTTTGTCCTTTTACTATTATGTAAAGGGTGAAATCTAAGAATATGGTGACCTAAAAAGAATATGAAGCCCCTTTTCATCCCCTTGTACTTCTTGTCACTTCATAGGTATGAGATCCCGTGGTAGAGAAGAGTAGAAAGGAAATGGAGGTTTCTGAGCCTGTTCTGGGATAAAGAGCATGTGGCCAGGTGTCAAGGGCTGGGAGTCCACACCTGGCATCTGCTCCTGGGTCTGCCACTCACTTAGGCAGGTCAGGCATTCATCCTCTGCTTTCAGTTTCCTGTTCAAAAAGCGTAGCCAGTAACATCCCACTTACTTACCTCACATGCTAGATTCAAAAATGCTTTGAACTTTTTTAAAAGCCTTGCATGGTTTTGATTTATTTTTGCCTTCTCCATTACCCAACCTAGGCATTTATATCCCACCCTAAAGTACAGGGAGTGACAGGGCCTTAAAGAGCATGATTGATGTGTCTGACTTTGTTGCTTTGTCTTTTTCTCAGGGACTGTTTAGTCTTACACTAAATGAACGTTTCAGTATAAATGGCGGTTATCTGGGTAAGTAGCGCATTCTCTAGTGAAATGGGAATTGCAGAGCTTTTTTTTTTTTTTTTCCTTTCAGATGGAGTCTTGCCCTGTCGCCAGGTTGGAGTGCAGTGATGCAATCTTGGCTCACTGCAACCTCTGCCTCTGGGGCTCAAGCAATTCCCCTGCCTCATCCTGCTGGGATTACAGGCGTGTGCCCCCATGCCCACCTAATTTTTTGTATTTTAGTAAAGACGGGATTTTACCATGTTGGCCAGGATGGTCTCAATCTCCTGACCTTGTGATCCTCCCAAAGTGCTGGGATTACAGGCATGAGCCACTGCACCCAGCCTCAGAGATTTTTCATGAGGAAGACTGAACTGTGCCTTCTGGTTACATCATCTAATCTCTTCCCGTTCCTGACAGTTTGTTCAATCTCTTCCAGGTGTTCTAGAATGGATTTTGGGAAAGAAAGATTCCATGTGGATAGGGTTTATTACTAGAACAGTTCTGGAAAATAGCACAAGGTAAAGTGTTTTGTTGCTGTATTATCAAATATTTATTTTAAATTACTCATATTAAAATATAAAAATATTTCTCAAGCTCCAGTTTAATCCTTTGAGGAACTGTTGCAGAATTTCTTAGGTGAACCTCCGACACTCATGGAATTATTCGTGTTTTTTTCGTGCGTATTGTGTGTTTTATAGCAAAGAAATGAGTTACGTATAAAGCACTAGGGATACTGACCTGAAAGTCACCTATGAATATTTTTGGTATACAAAAAAAAATTACCCACAGACAAAAGAACAATTTTACAGTAAAATCTTCATTTAAGTGGTGGTACAGACCAGGCACGGTGGCTCATGCCTGTAATCCTAACACTTTGGAAGGCTGAGGGGGACAGCTCACCTGAACCCAGGGGTTTGAGACCAGTCTGAGCAACATGGTGAAACCCTGTCTCTTCAGAAAATATAAAAATTAGCCAGGTGGCCGGGCGCGGTGGCTCATGCCTGTAATCCCAGCACTTTGGGGGGCCGAGGCGGGTGGATCACGAGGTCAAGAGATCGAGACCATCCCAGTCAACATGGTGAAACCCCGTCTCAACTAAAAATACAAAAAATTAGCTGGGCACGGTGGTGCGTGCCTGTAACCCCAGCTACTCAGGAGGCTGAGGCAGGAGAATTGCCTGAACCCAGGAGGCGGAGGTTGCGGTGAGCCAAGATCGCGCCATTGCACTCCAGCCTGGGTACCAAGAGTGAAACTCCATCTCAAAAAAAAAAAAAAAAAAATTAGCCAGGCATGGTGACACGTGCCTGTAGTCCTAGCTACTCAGAAGTCTGAGGTGGGAGGATCATCTGAGCCCAAGGAGGTCAAGGCTGCCATAAGCTGGGATCTATCGACTGCACTTCACCCTGGGTAACAGAGTGAGACTCTGTCTCAAAAAAAAACAAAATAAATAAATATAAAAGGTAGCACATATTAACCTATAAGTTATATTCTGCTTTGGTATAGAAATCTTACAATAGCAAAGCTATCCTTCCTTCATTCAGCCTCCATTGCAAGGAAATAAACGGGCATCAATCCTACTTTTAATACTTCCCAGGGAATAAGAGTTAATGTTAGTAGTGTTCTTTGATAACCCACTTCAATTTTTAATAGTCCTAATTTTCAGACAGTTTACTTTGTATTCCCTTAGTCCTATATACTGTAATGAATATTATTTCCCTTTGTTCACTTGCTGAGTGAAAGGCATGGACAGTAAGGGTGGAAGATGATCACTTGAGGCCACTTTGTTTCTCCTTCAGATAAGAGGGACCTCCTAAAATTCCCACTTCCTGTCTCAGTGTTTACCACACAGAGGTAGGGATTGCTTCTCCCACAGTCATTGCTCACCATCCCTTTTTAAAACTCACATTGTGTCTGGGCATGGTGGCTCATGCCTATAATCCCAGCCCTTTGGGAGGCCAGGGCAGGCATATCGCTCATGCCCAGGAGTTCGAGACCAGCCTGGGAAACATAGTGAGACCCCATCTCTAAAAATAAAAATAAAGAACACAGTCCTCAGATACTTGTTTTCCCTTAGTTTCCGCAGAGCTAAACATTTCCATTCTAAGTCAACTAAAAATGTTTCCCACCACCATCCTCAGCAAACTAACACAGGAACAGAAAACCAAACACTGCATGTTTTCAATCATAAGTGGAAGTTGAACAGTGAGAACACATGGACACAGGGAAGGGAACATCACGCAGGGCCTGTCAAGGGTTTGGGGGAAAGGGGAGGGGGAGGACATTAGGATAATACCTAATGCATGTGGGGCTTAAAACCTAGATGATGGGTTAATGGGTGCAGCTAACCACCACGGCATATGTATACCTGTGTAACAGACCTGCACGTTCAGCACTTGTATCCCAAAACCTAAAGTAAAATTTTAAAATAAGTAAAATTATTTACTAAAATGAAATAAAAAAGTTTTCCTTTTCTTTTTAAATGTTTCTATGTAGTTATGAAGAAGCCAAGAATATACTGATCAAGACCAAGATACTGGCCCCAGCGTACTTTATCCTGGGAGGCAACCAGTCTGGGGAGGGCTGTGTGATTACACGAGACAGAAAGGAATTGTTGGATGTATATGAGTAAGTATGTTTGTTCAAGCAGAAGTAGAAACAGGCGCATACACTGACATACTTTGAGTTGTAAGGCATGTAGCCTAAGAGGGAATCTCTCTTTTTGTATCTAGACTCGATCCTAAGCAGGGTAGATGGTATGTGGTACAAACAAATTATGACCGTTGGAAAAATCCCTTCTTCCTTGATGATCGCAGAACGCCTGCAAAGATGTGCCTGAACCGCACCACCCAAGAGGTACCTTTGCCATGTCTTATTTAGAAAGAAGCTGTTGCCATGAAAGATTCTCTTAGTTCTGGCATTTTTCTTCAGCCTTCAAATAATTTATAAGCCTCCTATTATTTAGTATCTCTAGCCAATCTCCATTGAGTTTTTGGTTTTTTTGACTTAAAGGCAAAATTGTGCTGTACTTTCCCTTTCTTGTTCTAATGCTGGATAGCACTCCGAAGTTGAATAATAAACAGGCAAGAATTTAAAAGGGGAAGGAGAGAGAGGAAAGTAATCCATGAAAACTGTTACCTGTGTTTCTAACAGTGACTCCCATGGAACGTCCGCGGGAGGATGGGGGGAGGTTGATTAAAGAATATCTTGAGGCCGGGCGCGGTGGCTCAAGCCTGTAATCCCAGCACTTTGGGAGGCCGAGGCGGGTGGATCACGAGGTCAAGAGATCGAGACCATCCTGGTCAACACGGTGAAACCCCGTCTCTACTAAAAATACAAAAAGTTAGCTGGGCATGGTGGCGCATGCCTGTAATCCCAGCTACTCAGGAGGCTGAGGCAGGAGAATTGCCTGAACCCGGGAGGCGGAGGTTGTGGTGAGCCGAGATCGCGCCATTGCACTCCAGCCTGGGTAACAAGAGCGAGACTCCGTCTCAAAAAAAAAAAAAAGAATATCTTGGTTTCTAAGAACCTGTTTGTTTAGATAAGTTGTTGGCTTCTGTATTTAACTTACTGAACAAAACTATTTTTGTGTGTTTTAGAGTATCTCCCTGGAAAGCATGTATGATGTCCTGTCAACAAAACCTGTCCTCAACAAGGTATTTTGAATATGATATATATACTTGCTTTTTAGGGAAAGAATCTGGCCCTATGTTTTATCTTTTTCTGTTATCTTTGATCACTTTGAGCACAGAAGTTATGTTTACCTTAGGGCTGATTTTTTTTTTTAATGTTTTTGTATGGCTAAAACTATAACTTTTGGAATACAACAAAGAAATTGATCATTGAGTCTTGATAGGTCAGAGTATTGTTTATAGCTTTATCTACATGGCATTTGAATTAAGTCTAGCATTTTACTTTTATCCGTGTCTATTAAAAATCTCACACTATACAACTAACACCTAAAAGTCAACAGAACAAAGTCTGAAGTCCATTTTCAGACAGAGCTCTGTGTCTTGGTAGGTTAGGGTTTCCCTTAAACTTTAGTACATCTTTTCATCTTTTCCCCGCACTATAGATTAAAAAATGCAAAAAGTTTCCTAATCATCCCACCATTTGCTACCAGTCATTGCTTGAACATTCTGAATATGCCGCTCTAACTATCCCACTTGTTCCTTCTCTTCCTGGTCCTTTTCCCCAACTCTCCCTAAAGTAAACATGCCTCCCTTACCCCTGCCAGGACAAATCTCTCCTAGTCTTTAGCATTCAGGTCATCCTGGCTCTCACAGGAAGCCTTCCTTCAGTTCCTAGACCCTGCTATACTTTCATTTTGCCTACACCATCTATGAGCAAGTCACAATCCCATGACTGTAGTGTGTGATCCATGAGTTTGGGTGTGCACCTTGTGAGCTGGGTGCCTGCAGTTTCCCCTACTGTATTAGAAATGCTTTAAGGATAGGGATAGCCAAAGTTTCCCGTTTTTTCCTCCATAGTACACCGTGAGGCCTTGCAGGACTGTCAGTTGTGCGTCGAGGAGGGGTAAGGCAGTCTTAAAGCATTGGTGGTGAAGCAGTGTGCTGTCAGGAATAAGCTCTTGTAAAGAGCTGGAGATTCTTTGCTGAGCCCATTTATATTCATGACCTGAAACATGGTCCTATTGAAGTTGGTTGCTTTAGTTATTTGATGATACTATATAATGATTAGCTAATACTATATAAAATGATTATACTATATTAAGTATATACATTCTATAACATGCTTTCCATATATTAACATAATTATATTTATTATTTCATATTAACTTGATAAAGCAAGTTCTACAGGTATAGAAATGCTCATATATATCTGAACATCTCTGAATTGAAAACATCCTTAAAGTAAAAACAACTTTTCTTTCAGCTAACCGTATTCACAACGTTGATAGATACTACCAAAGGTCAGTATGAAACGTACCTGCGGGACTGCCCTGACCCTTGCATTGGTTGGTGAGCACACATCTGGCCTACGGAATGCACCCTCTGAGACATGAAGACACCATCTCCATGTGGCCGAGTACTGCAGCCTTCTGACCTTCCGCAGACGAAGACTTGGGGCAGGTTGCCTTTGAGTCAGGAGCTCATCTTCCCCCAAATGTTTACAATTCACAGACTATTCTTTTTGCCCTATCAGTTGATTTTTCTTATTTGCAGATAATTCTTTAGGTGAAGTAAAACAACCATCTAGAATTCATTGAGTTTTGTTTCACTTTGACATTTGGGGATCAGGTGGGCAGTGGAACCATGGTGAGCTCTACCTCCCTGAATAAATGGAGAGTCAGCGTGAGTGGTTAATCTAGCACATCTGTCTGAGTAACAGTAAACAGTCCACATTCTTCAGTTTTTTACTTTTATCTACATATTTGTATTGTTTTTCTGTATAGCAGGCTTTTCCTTCTGGTTCTAACTATTATTAAAATTAATATACCAGCCAGGTGCGGTGGCTGACGCCTATAATCCCAGCACTTTGGGAGGCCAAGGTGGATGGATCACAGGGTCAGGAGTTAAAGACCAGCCTGGCTAAGAGAGTGAAACTGCATCTCTACTAAAATCTATAAAAAGTAGCAGAGTATGCTGGCAGGTGCCTATAATCCCAGTTACTTGGGAGGCTGAAGCAGAAGAATTGCTTGAACCCAGGCGGCAGAGGTTACAGTGAACCGAGATCACACCACTGCACTCCAGCCTGGGTGACAGAGTGAGACTCTGTCTCTAAAAAAAAAATTAATATACCATTGTCTTTGCTGTTAGTGACAGCAATATAACTTTATTACATGTGATTAGGGAAATGAAACAGACATTCATTCACCTTGTATTTCTTTAAAGGGAAAAAGGGCCATTGACTCTAAATAGCACTTTTTGGGGTTCAATAAGTAATCAGTATGCAAGAAAGTATTTTATAAGATAGTTGAAGTGTTCCCTTTTTCATAATTAGTCTACCTCCCAGTAACCCTAAGGAAGTTGCTAACTTAAAAAAAACCGCATCCCAAGTTCTGTGAATTTAGTAAATAAACAAGTCAAAGACTTGTGGAAAATAGGAAGTGAATCCATTATTTTAAATTCTGATAAGTAGCATTCATGTAATAAACAGGTTTTTAGTTCTTCAAATCAACATGTATTTTTAAAGAACTTTTAGTAGTTACTAAAAATGTTTTTCAGAAATCAAACTACTTATGAAAAGTACTAATAGAACTTGTTAACCTGTCTAACCTTCATGATTAACTGTGAAATGTACGCCATTGGTATTTGTACAAGACTGTGTCCACTTCATTTTGTATAATCACAGTTGTGTTCATGACACGCAATAAACAGTCACTGGAAAGAGTGCCAGTCATCAGTCATGCACGCTGATTGGGTGTGTACATCTGTGTTGGTTTGAAGGTGGGGGATCATGATCGAGAAATACAAGCTGAACATCGTATCTGAATTAAATAAGGGTTATGTAAGTGGGTTATTAAATATGACTAAATGGTCGCAATCTTACATGACTAATACCACCTCCTAACCAGATAGTATCAACCCAGTTTTCAGGTGTTCAAAGGCAGTTTTTCCCCCAGATAGGAGGTGCTTCCACAAAACTTTAGTGATCCCAAGATTACTTTCGTGAAGCAAGAGCATTTACATTAAAATAGGATTCAATTAATGCAAAAGGAAACTTTACTCAGATTTTGTACCTCTTATAAAAAAGAGAGGTCAACTTGATGTATTTTTTGTTGATGTTCTAACCTTTGATATGCCTGATAATGAGGAGATGAGATGCTAATTGTTTCAGACTGAGATCTCAGGAGTAAATCAAAGTTTAAAAGAAGTAACAGGTATTAAGATTTTAGGAAGTAATTGGTTAGTGGTAAAGCAGTTTTAAAATAGGATGTACATGATAAGCCTATTTATATTACACTTTATACATGTACTTATGCATAACTAGACATATATCTAGAATATGATGATTGGGAGAATATTAACCAAAATACTGACTATAATTCCCGCTGGAAAATGGCAAGGCCATTTTAATTTTGAGAGGACAAAACTTAGTACCCGTTGGACATTAAAGAGACACTGTTTTTAGAAATACTATAAAAGGGCCGGGCGCGGTGGCTCAAGCCTGTAATCCCAGCACTTTGGGAGGCAGAGGCGGGTGGATCACGAGGTCAAGAGATCGAGACCATCCTGGTCAACACGGTGAAACCCCGCGTCTACTAAAAATACAAAAAATTAGCTGGGCATGGTGG